GTCATGGGTGACAGATAAAAGGGTTGGCCGGTTAAGAAGGACTCTTTCGAAAACTTTCAATAATGCTGATGTGCAGGCAATCGGTCGATATTTGGAAGATCCTTTTTGGGGACTTGGTGTTATCCGAGCAGCTCTCCAACAATCAGGGATGCTTCCAGATGACATACACAAATTGAACAACTCGGAAATAGGTGAAGCAAGTTGTTCAGTACGCTCTTTCAGTAGGAAGGGGAACAATGAATCAGGGCCATGTGCCTTGTTAGATTTGAGGGACATGAGTACATTCAGGACTTCCACAGGGGTGACAGATTGGTTCTCCCCAGTAGATGTAAATAAAGATGGTGTTGAGTTCCGTCTAGTCGCATTTGCGAATTGACGGTTTAGCTCCTCAACATCCGGAAAAGATCTGTTGCGTGATCCACAGAGCTGCTTTAAAGCAGACCAAATTTCGCGTCAGCTCTGGTTTCCCATAAGAGTTTCGATATATATCCGATTTAGGCGCGGTATTTCCATTTTGATCAATAATGATAGATGTTTGGCAGCATTGCGCCTCCCAGTCCCGTAAGCCTTTTCTTTATCACGACGAAGCCGTTTTAGAAGAAGCGAAGAGAATCTGTCAGTTCGAATACATAAGGTCTCAACTGGGCAACACAGATCATAGAAAAATTAAGATAAGATGAAAGATGCTCACAAATGGAAGAGTTGTCAGCGTTGGCAAAGACAGTGAAATCGGTAGATGAAACCATATCTTTAGGTTTGGATAAGTTTTCAGGAGTGCGACTTCTCCTTCTAATGGTTCTGGATGTGGAACGGTTCATATGGTGTTGAAAATATTTACCGTAAATCTTAGGGTGCAAACAAATACAGCAATGATCGGAGCTACCTATGGGATCCCGCTTCTCAATGAAAGATATCGGGGCTATTTACAAAACTCCCGTCAAGTTGAATGCCAAGCCGGGTAGGAAAATTTACAAGATTCGTCAAGCCTAAAGTTGTAAGGAAAGATAAATTAAAACGATTAAAACCACCAGCAGCAATGCATAAAGACTGTTCCAAACCGGTTATAAGTTGTGAAGGGAAGGAGACGACAAACAGACGAATATCAGAGACAGGCGCGACAGGAGCGATGTAAATGTTCGCCAATATAATATGATGAAAGTGACTGATAAATCGGGGCTTACAATAAAAAAAATACAATTCATCTTGGCAGTATTCAATTGAAAACATTTACGAGCGTTTTTGCGCCATTTCCTGTTGACGAAAGTGACTACACCACCACTTCTGTGAAGGAGATTCACATTACGGTCGCCTCGGAATATGTCAAATCCATCAAGATGCACAACGTTGTCCTCAATATCAGGGTGTAG